AGACGGTTGGATGTATACAGGCATGTTGAGGGTCTTTTTGGTATAGAGATAGTTAAGAGAAACAGAAAGAAGAAGTCTCCAGGTAAATATGCATAATATAAACCCTTAATTGACTAGATTTTTTATAGAAAATACACTACTAATTGGTGAGAGTCCTATGGTGCATCAGCACCAGAGTTGCAGAAGGTTGCTGTTAGAGTCCTCAGCCTTACTTGTAGCTCCTCTGGCTGTGAAAGAAGTTGGATTACTTTTGAGCAAGTATGATAAGTTTTATTTTATTCAACAAAATAGATTTAATTCCCTTAGAGATATGAATATTAATTTGATTGATTTGTATAAATTACAGACACACCAAGGAGAGGAATAGATTAGATCATAATAGGTTGCAAGATCTAATTTACTGCAAGTACAACCAAGCTTTAAAGGAGAGATTTGACTGCAGAGATTCTATTGATCCGATTAAGTTGGCTGATATAGATGAAAGCAATGAGTGGTTGTTAGGGCAGTTCGGTGAAGATGAAAATGTAGAGAATGACTTGGTGGAGGGCGAGGACAACCTTACATATGATGTCCTAGACTCGTAGTAGATGCGATGGGAACTGAAGAAGATGATGCTATATATCTAAGATCGACTAGTAGGTTTCGAGGATCTTCGAGTAGTATTGGTTCATCGTCAAGGAAGGACCTAGTTTCTGAGTCGGAAGATGAAGAGGAGTTTAATAATGATGAGGAGACTGAAGAGGAGGATATTCCCTTTGAAGGGGATGATGATGATGTTAATGAGGATAATTAGAGTCATTAGGCTATTATTTTGCTACTTATTTGTTTTGTTTTATTAGATTGCTTGCTTTGCTCTAATTTTAGTGAACATCTTAAGTGTTCTAGCTGCTTAGTTATTTTGTTTTGATGAATAGCTTGATTTGCTTTAATGATTAAAACTTTATCTTGTGATTTGGTAGTATATATTTTATTTATCTTGCGTAGTGTTATTGAGGCGCGCACGCCAGGTGCGCTCCAGGTGCCAGGCGTTACGGCATGCAGCAAATGCGCCCCGCACGAAAGGCAGAACGCTATAGGCATGCGAGGCG